AAAAAATACGACCTGCTGAAATTGAAGATGATCCCATTTCCTATCACTCAAGCTAAAGTTAACTTCCCCAAGGTCCTAGATGGAAGGTAAATTGCAGAGTTTCTAAATCAGTGAAAAATAAGGCCCCTCATGTCAAAAAGTGCATTATCTAAAAGAAGAATCAGCACACATTTTCTGTGAAGGGCAAAACAGTAAATATTTTAGGCTTTGTGGGCCAGACAGTCTCTGTGAAACTACTCAACTTCATTGTAGCGTGAAAGCAGCCATAGGCAATATGGAAATGGATGGGCCTGGTTGTGTTCCAATAAAACTTTATTAACAAAGACTGGGGGTGGGGCAGGAAAGATTTGGCCTATGAGCTGTTGTTTCCCCACTCATGGTCTAGAAGATACTTCTTCAGTTCATTGCAGAAAAATGGAAAGTTAGATTTAGGTTTTCATCACTGAAGAACTGAGAGAAACATCAAACAGAGGACGGGCAAACATTATATGTTAGGGTTTCTTTTCTTTTATACAGGGAAGGGATGGATGAGGGCTGCTCTGGGTAACAGTGCAAGCCTATGTTCGTTCTCTAAATCGTTGACAGGATATATTATTCCTGCCTCTGGTTACGAGGCTAGCCAGGGAAACATATTGGCTTACATTCTTTAATTCCACACGTACTCTTTGTCTTCTTATCATGTGTTGTGCTGACAACCATTGGGTAGACAAAGATGAACAAGGCTCACTGGCAGCCTTCTAGGAGTTTCCAGTCTGAGGTGAGGTAGGAGAGGAGGTGGTGAGGACAGACAAGTATGTAAAAAAAAATACAGCGTAAAGAAAAATGTGGAAGAGACCAGTAAGGAGGTATTAGCAAACTGCACTGAGAAGACAAATGCAGGAGAAATAAGCTTGGTCCTGGGTAATCGGGGTGTCATGATCAGAGAGGGTGACATTTAGTTGGGTCATGAGGAATGAAAGGATCCCAAAAGGAGCTGAGGGAAGGGCAGGTCAGGAAGAAGACTCTCAGGTAGGCACACAGGTACAGCGATGTAGGGCATGTGCAGAAAATAGGATAATCCCCCGTGCCTGGAGAGGTAGAGTGAGGAGTTGAAATGGAAGCTGGAAGTCCAACCAAGTCTTCTGAGAGCTGAAAGATGCAGCTGAAGTGTTGGGATTGTATTCCCCAACAGAAAGGAGTCCTGGCACATAAATCAGATCATAACAGGACTTTACTAAGAGAATGTCAGCAGCAGTGTGAAGAAAGCTCGGTTCATTAAATGAACGTCCAAGAACTCTGGAGCAATGCTGTCCAAAAGAAATATGATATGCGCCACAAACGCAAGCCACATATGTGATTTTAAAATTTCCTATAACCACAATTTTAAAAAGTAAAACTAAACAGAATTAATTTTAATAATATATTTCATTTTACCTAATTTATCCAAAGTATTATAGTTTCAACATGTAATCAATGTAAAAATTATTAATGAGATATTAACGTTTACCTCATACTAAGTCTTCAAAATCGGGTATGTATTTTACACTTAGGGCAGGGCTCAATTCAGATTTTCAATATTGCAAGTGCTCGGTGTGGCTAGTGGCCACCGCATGGGACAGCACAGCTCTAGAACATATGAACTAAAGGGCATCCGGGAGGGGCCCTGAGCCTAGGCTGGAGGCAAGACCCAAGGATAGTCATTTAGGGATGCCTGGCTGCATATTTTGCCGAGTCTCCTTGTGCCCTGAGTTCTTTTAGAATAACCTACATAGGAATAATTGCTGTGCCTTTAAAATAAAATATTCATAAAATGCCATGTGGACTTAGAAAATCCTGTTCTAGCTAAAGGTAGGTAAACTGTTAAGGTAAGTGAAATCTCAGACACTTTACATTATAATTACAATAGTTTCAATAAAGAATTTGGATCTTAACATTTATCAGCTGGAAGGGCTCTTAATTATTTTATGAAACGTTCTAATTTTACAAATGGCAGAGACTCAGTATCACTCACCTAGATATTACTCCTGGGGCTGCCCAGTTCTTCCCTTTTTCCAGGTTACTGTGTGGGTGTATGTGTGTGTGTGTGTGTATGTGCAAACGACAGACAGAGGAACAAAGGCAGGCAGCAGAGATGAGGGGGAAGGAGAACAGTACAACAAGAGCCTGGTGAGTCTTTTTTAAGCTACAGATGCTGGGGCCCTACCCTGATCTACTGAATCAGAGGCGGACTCACAGACAAATTAAGGTAGTACCATTGCTAATCTATGAAGAGACCTATATTATCATTAGAAATAGTACGAAACACAGGAGAATTTTTTAAACCAGAATACCTGACAGGTGAAAAGATGAAAAGGAATACTTTATTAAATTCCTTGGAGCGTTGGCTTAGGTGGGAGAGAGAGGGAGATAAAAGTGCGGGATAGTGAAGGATGCAGACACCCATGTAGCAGAAATAACAACAGCCACTGAATGCCTTTAACACAGGGCCCTGCCCTGCAGGGTTTTGGGCTGGTGTGTGTGTGCCTGTAATAATTTTGGGGGTGGAACCAAGTTGCCATAGTAAGAAAGGTAAGGTTGAAGACATATCAACTGTCTTCATTTCTCACCTCCCCCTTAGCAGCAATTAGCTCCTCTTCAAAAATAGGGCGACGGAATATTTTATACTATCACGTTAGGCACCAATTTATTAGCCTGATCATAATATTGAACTATGGACCAACCTGGGTGTCCCGGTACACCCACATTTATCAGTTTGGACCTTGTTAGGGATGTGTAGTCTAGAAAGCTTTCCAGGTGATCTGTTTTGAACTCCTCACCAGGGTGAAGACTATTATAGTACCGCTTCCTAATTTTAACGTGTACACCAGTCACCTGGGGATTTGTTACACTGCAGGCTCTGATTCGTAGGTCTGGGATGGAGCCCCTGCATTTCTGACAGGCCCCTGGGTCATGCCTGTGCTGCTTGTCTGCAGACCACACAGAACAGTAAGGCCCCAGAGCATCAACTATTTTTCTGAACAAAGTAATGTAAGCACCCTCGGGTATTTCCTCCTTTCCCACTGCATTCCCAGCATTAAAAGTCCTGTGGTTCCCCTCGCTCCTTCCACAGGGGGCTGGAATTTGACAAGAGACGAGGCATTAAGAGATCACAGGGGTCTGAGCTGCCAGTCCTGCCTAGGAGCACACCTGTTTGATGAGGCTCACCTCTTTTCATCATTTCACCTCTCTGCCTTCAGGTATCTAAACTCGAAAGGGAGAAAACTCAAGAAGCCAAGAGGATCCGTGAGCTGGAGCAGCGCAAGCACACGGTCCTGGTGACCGAACTCAAAGCCAAGCTCCACGAGGAGAAGATGAAGGAGCTGCAGGCCGTGCGGGAGAATCTCATCAAGCAGCACGAGCAGGAAATGGCCCGGACAGTGAAGGTGCGGGACGGGGAGATCCAGAGGCTCAAGTCGGCGCTGTGTGCGCTCCGGGACGGCAGCAGCGACAAAGTAAGGACAGCGCTCACCATCGAGGCCCGCGAGGAGGCCCGGAAACTGTTTGATGCAGAGCGCCTTAAGCTCTTACAGGAAATTGCGGACCTGAAAACGGCCAAGAAGCAGGTGGATGAGGCGCTAAGCAATATGATCCAAGCGGATAAAATCAAGGCTGGGGACCTCAGGAGTGAGCATCAGTCCCACCAAGAAGCCATCTCCAAGATCAAGTGGGAGTCCGAGCGGGATATTCGGAGGCTGGTTAGTAACCCAGGGCAGAACCATTCTCTTTCCAGGCTTCAGAGTGCTTTGGGGTTTGCTTTTTCAGGTGTCTTTCATGAGCGGATTATAAACAGTACCCTCCTTCTGTCTAGTGCTATGGCCAAGATACAAGATAGGTCAATAGATAAGTAGATGCGCCCAGGCCAAAATTGGCATTGTAAAAGGTAAAAGATTTTGGAGTCACCTTTCTCATGAAAACTGGATTCTTCCAGCCCCACACGTATGCAGAGTATGGGTTTAATGACTCCTGTTTTCTTGGCTGTCCATGGAATTATTCTGAATTATGAACTCTTCCAAAATCAGCATGTTTTGTAGGCTTTCCATTTATAAAATGTTTTGGGGTTTTTACCGGGGAAAGGGAAGTTTCTTTGGCTTTCAAGGTGTCTGAGAATGGCAGCCACTGGGAACATCCTCTGGGATTCACCTGTCTTCTCTCCAGGAACCGTGTCTGAAAGCAAGAAATAGAGCTATAAAACCCCTAGTCATTTTACAAATAGATCTTCTTTCCCAGAATAAACAGGGGCCCCTCAAAATAGGGGCCATTATAATTCTTAAATTGGATGTCATTCCTAAATAGCTTATTTGCTATTACAAATTTCCAAGACTTCCTTCAACCCCTACTGAGTTGAGTCTTTCTTTTTAATATGTATGACCAAAAGCCACGTCAGTCTCTCACTATGCTTAAAAGTCAAACAAATAGAATTATTGTGTGAAAGCTATAATGTTGCATATTGGCCTTCTCTTAGAAGTATTTATATGCATCTATATTCAGAATGTTTAGCATTAGTTATATCTTGGTTATATATTAACTATCACCTGTTCGAGTGTACTTTATGCTTCTCTAAAAATATTTTCTTAGGAAAAACTACACCTTCCTTCTTGTGTGTGCCAGGTCTAAGCATTTATATTCTAAGAATTCCAATTATGTTCCTTAGACGATATCTCTAGGTTTTCAATTTTATGTAAAAAACGGTTATCGTAGAACATTTTAGAAAACTAAACATGTGATTTTCTTTGTACTGCAATACAGTGTGACTGTAAAATATTGCCTTTGCTACACTTTCCAAATTCTTTATCTGCAATTCATATTATCGCATTGGTTGACAATAAAGACCAAACACAGTGCAGAAATATTGGTCTCTGCCCTGCCTTTGGTTTTTAAGACAACAATGGCTGATGAAGAAAGAATCAAGACTGTGCACTCTGGAGTCAGCAGGTAGGTAAATGAAAAGGAAGCTTTACATTAAATATTTCTGCTTGTCGATGCTTTTAATGTAAAATCTACAAATATATCTACCTGTTGGTCTGCAATTTTTTCCATGATTTCCTTTCACCAGCACATTGCAGAAGCAGACATGAAATCCCTCTTAATAACAATGTAAAATCTAATCTGTCTGAAGATTGGTTCAAAAATTGGGTACAAACAGAAAAACGGGAAACTTTTTCATTAATACAGATGCACTTCATTTTTTCCTTCTAATCCTGTTCTTACTGCAACACCCAGTTTTATTTTTGGAACTGAAAAGGAGAGAAATGGGAGCTATTCTGTGTAGAAAATTTTCCCAGGGAATTCTGGTATGTACCCATCTAACTAGAAATTTGGAAGATTTTCAGTATTCTGAAACCAGAGTCCATATTTATAACCAGCATGCAATAGAGACTCCTTGACACTAGGTACTGGATAGTCTGCAGAAAACCACTTTGGGAAAATGCTGGAAGGATAACCATGGCATAAGTATAGCATAGTGCCAAATAGAATGGGCTCTAGGGTCATAAGACTGTATATTAAATCAGGCTTCATCTTTATTAGCCATATGACCATGACCAAGTTCTTAACCCTTTGGGTCCTCAGTCGTCACCTGTGAAATGGTGATAACAGAACCTATATAATAGGATTGTTATAAAATTAGACAAGGTATGTAAGGCTCTGAATGCCTTGAATGTAGAAAAAGATCAATAAATTTCAGTTATAATGATGACGCTGATTATATGGGTGTAATGGGGTGATTTCCCAGCCAGTTCAGTTATGTAGGGTGCTTAAGAACCAAGTAAGAGCATACAGATCTGGAGCTACGGTAAACTGGAAATAAACCATAGATGACACATCTAACAAAGGAACATGCTACTTAGGTAAGAGTAACACTGGCCTCAAGTCTCCTGCAAGGAGATAAAATAAAGACAATGCTTTTACTCCCAAATTAACAGGACAGCGTTTGATTACTTGCCAAGTTATCAGATGATGTCACAGCACCATGGCCTCCCAAAAATGATCTAATATTTTATCCTGTGACTTGGAGGCAGTAGCTCACAGAGAGTTACATGTGGGAAGATGTGATTGTATAATACAGTTTCTGTTCCAAATATATATAAATATGTATTTTGGTCTTAGGAACACAGCAAAGAAAGATTTATACCAAGTGATTTGTTATATATAAGGAGACATTTTTATAAAGAGGAGAACAGTATAATATTGTTTGTATTAAATATGTCTATTCTATTTCCATTTTTAAGATTCTCATGGAATATAATGAAATGAGAAGAAAGGTTTTACCTAATGGCTGTGCTGTCTTCAGAGATTGTTTATAGATATTAACTTCACTAGCCCTCACCCAGGGATGGCAAAAAGTTTTCAGTCCAGTGGAACTCTGATCAACTGGTATCAAATGCTTTTGGCCTTCAGTTGAGAAGTATTTCTGAGGCCATGCCCAGGCTTAACAAAAATGAGTGTTGGGATCAATAAATATATCCCACAGTTATAGGTGGGAAAATAGTGACTAATAATACCAGATATTTTCTATTCCGGTTCTTGTCCCAACCATGATTTTCTGACTATAATAGTAAAATGGTTGCTAAGAACTGGCTGCTCTGAAAAATGGATAGGAATGGAAAGAGCCATACAACATGGACCATGGAAAGACAAATTCACCACTTGAATGCAAACATATTGGCCTTAGGAAATGATGAGGCTACTGGAAATACTGTAGCTTCTTCAGTTACAAATGACCTGTTCATAGTGGTTACTGCTATTTTAACTGAACTCAAAAGTCATTCCCCCAAACAGGAGGTAACATCACACATTGTCCTGGGAAACATTGTAGTAGAATATTTAGCATCTGTCTTTATTAACACTAATGACCCGTTTTAAAGTTAACTTTTGCTTTCCATATCCAACCAAACCAGACTGTTTCAAACAATATATTGAATCACAGCACCTACATAGGATATACTAGAGAGAAAAAATTACCCTCCTTGACACCTAATTAGTCTAGGATGGCCGTTCATTACATATTCTTGCCTTGTCTGATTCCTGAATTCAGTATACTTGTCATATTCATGATTTTTTTCCCTATATCAATCAGCAGAACAAAAGTTAAGCTCATACCATTGTAAAAATGCATATCTTTGTAGCATTGTTAAATAAAATGTCATGGGTGTCATTTAATTCAGATGGATGAAATCAAAGCCAAGGACAGGATCATCTTTTCCCTGGAAAAGGAACTGGAGACCCAAACAGGCTATGTACAGAAACTCCAACTGCAGAAGGAGGCTTTGGATGAACAGCTCTTTCTGGTCAAGGAGGCTGAATGTAACATGAGCAGTCCAAAACGAGAAATTCCGGGAAGGGCAGGAGATGGCTCTGAACACTGCAGCAGTCCTGTAAGTCTATTCAAGTTGAAGTTAAAAACTCAGGAGTCATCTTTTATTTAGCGCCTAAGTTTTACTTTTCACGTAAGCTCTTTTCCTGTTTACTACAGAGCAATCAATTCCACCTCCTACTATAAAACAAGCAAGTATCTTGGGAGCAGGGTTTTCTAAACTCGTAGACAACAAAGTGGTCTGTACTGCATTAGCTGATCACAAGAGAATTACATATCTTTTAAAATCCTTTATAGAATTTTTCTAGCCATTATACCTGTCCAAACATCAGCATATTATAAGAATTATAAATTAGATGAAAAGGGCTTCCCTGGTGGCGCAGTGGTTGAGAGTCCGCCTGCCGATGCAGGGGACA